GACAATTAAATATGGTGGGGATTCTTAGGAATGAAGTTTGCACATTCTCAGATTGAACTCTCAGATTTCTTACCTGGAAAGAAATGAGATGAAAAATGCAATTTTTATCTCTAAAACAAAATGTACCTCCCTAATATATTGACTTAGGTGCATTTACCTCTTCATTTTACCAGCACAAATACAGCTTAGATACGACCTTTGCTTTCCCAGCTCCTGCCTTCCCATGGCAATGGAGAAAATAAAAAATATGAAATATTCACAAATTACAGGACCTAATAAATTGTCCTGACTAATATGACGAATCATATTAGTCAGAGGTGATCTGTACATGTAGTCACTAGAGTCAACAACTTTAGTACTTGATTTCTCAACTATGGCTCAGTTCATTACTACTTTTAAAAAGCAATGTATTGCATCAATACATAATCTATTTCTTGGAGTTACCTGTTAATTGTGGAGAGATTCTGATTTTGTTGCCTTCATCACAAATAAAGCCATATATTTCACTTGAAATTTCTGGCTTTTCATTCCATATAAAACACTCCATTACAACCTCATGTGACAATAAAGTCACTGCACCATGTTTCTCAGCACATTAAAATAAGGAATAAGGTACTCATCTCTGCTCAAAAATGCAAAGAAAAATTATTTGGCTTCAATATTTTCTCCTCTGTAGAAAGGATTTTGGGATCCATTTTTAAGAACAACAAAATGCAAACTAACATTGCATTGAAAATCAACAATTTCCTTTACATTTTTAAAAGCCAAATGCACAAATACTGGTTCTTCCATTACTTTCCCTCACTTCTTCACAGCTAAAAAAATCCCTGTAGCAAAACCAGTAACAGACTGAAGGGTGCAACCATAAAGCTCAGATGGGATGAAAAATTGAGCCTTGAAACTTCACAAATAAGTCACTCTGAGTCAATTTTCCGCCAGCTGAATTTATGCCTCAACTGTTCTCATTCCCCACAGGTAGTTATGGCACTGGCAATTTGAAGTAACTTGCTGGCATTCAGCATGTTACTTTATTTCCTCTCCCATAATTCAATTGTGCTGGTTTGATATTCTGATTCAGCATTGTGGAAGGAGCAGACACAACTTACTGAAATATCTATGGTTGACTGAAAAATACTGATTTAATTTTGCAGTTCATTCATTAAGGAAAACGTACTTTCATTACATTAGTTTGCAGAACTAAGTAGTTATTCATCAGGAACAAGACGAATATCTTGCTCTCCCTGCAGGAAGTCACAGCTTTGGGCAGGGATGGTTCTGATGTGAGGTTTGGTTTTCACAAGGATTTTCTGGTGACAACATAAAATTTTCATAAACCATCTGCTTGTGCTCCTCTGATTCTGGGGACAAACCCTGGCTCTTGCTTCTGCCCACCCACTTGGAATTGATAGAGATTTTGCCTGGATGAGGGCTCAGGAAGTTCAGGATGCTGTCCCATCAACCCCAAGTCCTTCTGCAGAAGCTCATCCATAGCCATCCAAAGCCTGAACAATCCATTTTCCCTTTAAATCTCTAGGTCACACTGCATGACCCAGCTGGTAAAATGCTCAGCACAGCTGATGGAGCAGATTAAAAACATCACGGGCCTGAACACCTTCTTGCCAGCAGCTTTTTTTTTTAACCAAGGGGAAAGGGAAGCTGTGGTTTCATAAGATACTCTTCAGCTAAAGTGTCCTGAAACATCAACTGCAAAAAAGGTGCTCATATGCACTTCTTTGTACTTATGCTGTTTCCACTAATGGATTTCACCACTCTGTGTTGCTGTTGCCATCAAAATGTACTCTGTGTACAAAACACGGATCTTCAACAGTTTTTCTAAAGGAGATGGATTGGAAAAAGTATGGGAATACAGGGGAGGACTGAAAAGATGTTTTTAAGTGGCAAGTATAAAGCATATGTAGAATCTAAATTTCAGTATATTGGTCATAGACTTAGGGATTTCAGAGATGCCTGGATAGATTCTTCCCACACAAAGGCATCTCAAACAAATGTGCTCTACACACACACACACATATATAAATCAATTATCTCTACCTGTAGATCACACTCTTGTGGTCACTAAGGAACAACAGAGTGACAGAAAGGGGATGCTAAGGGCACTAATCCCACTGAGTGCTAGAAACCAGCATATGTTTTGAAAGACCTACTCCAGAAATAAATGATGTTGGGAACTCGGACAGATCCTGGTGGTGGTTGTTCAGAGCAGCTTTTCATTATTTTCAATGTCTCAGTGTAGCAGAGATGTCTTTCTTTGAACCAGAAATAGCTTCATATGGCTAAGAGCTGACTCTCCAAAAACTGGTCCATTGCAAAATTCTCTCATCCTCTGCTTTTAATGCAATATATAATGGATCTTTACCCCACTATTCAGTGTCTGTCAAAATATGAACTCTATTTATACTTTTTCTTAACTTCCTAAACTTCCAGACAAATGGCTATGAAAAGAACAAGTACATCTTCCACAAACACCTCCTAATTGACTATTCTTCTGACCTTATAACTATAATAATTTCTAAATCTATTCAAAAAACTTTTAAATTCCTTACCTCAAATTAAGAGACAGGATTTCTGTGAGCTTCAGGCTAACAGAAAAAAAATTTAAAAGCTTCTCATTTGTATTCCTAGGAAGTAGCTGAATTTTTATGCTCTTCCTGCTTAATGTTTTCCACAACTTGAGCCATGGAACAGTCATGAAGATCTCCAGCATTTGTCATATTAGGAAAATAATTAAAACAGACATTATTTTCATTCAGTAAAACTGTGACTTTTCACTGGTCTTTCTTCCCTAATTTAGAAATTGAAAAAGATAAGGCCCTTAGGAATTACACTTAAATAAAGTGATTAATTATCAAAGACATGAAATACTTCATTGATTGTGTGGGACCACTGCTTAGACCCAAAGTCAGATGAAATAATACGAGAGAACAGCCAGATGTTAATATTGCAACATCTAGAACAGCAGGGAAGACAAAGGCGGATCCCTTTGGAGTGAGCTGCCACTTCTGCCAGCAGAACTCCAAAGAAAGATGCAGCCAGCCCCAGAACTGCCAGTGGGAATTAGCCTGGTCCCAGGGAAATCCATCAGGAGCTGTAGCTTGTGCTGTAAGTGCAGAGACAAACACACTTTCTATACCCCACAGTCCAAGAGGCCTGTTCCATACTATTCCACAATTCTCCCATTTTTATTTTTACCCTATGATAAGAAAAATTCCCCAACTTTGACAAACAAAAAATACTCATAGAAACTTCTGTGAGCTTTAGTAGCTTCTGTACAGCTGATGGCAGCAAAACAGCCCTGAATTTGCTTTACTATGCTATTTAAGCAATTTAAGCTTAAAATGTTCCCAGGGCAAAAATTAGGGCTATGCCTAACAAGTACATTAAGCCTTATTATGCCTATTAAGCACAGGGAGTCACCCTTGTTGTGACTGCACACTGAAAGCTGTTACGGGCAGTGTACTGAGTCCCTAATCAAACCAGCGTGGGAGGTACTTTTTGGTGACATTTAGAATACCTCAATTACAAAATAACTACCTAAAAGGGCAAAGAAATGGATTTTCCTAACACAAAACAAAAACAGGCATTAGACAGAGGCATTAGACTGAAAGCATTTTTTTTTTTTGGATTCTGGTTTTTATTTTGCTACTTCGGTATCTTAAGATATTCAAAATTAATAAAAAGCCCAGTATTTGAGGGGAAAACAACCTTCTCATCTGAGGAATGAAAGATTTAGAAATTGCCTGAGAGAAAAAAAGAATCAAAGCTATTTGGATCTGCAACATTCAAAATAGAGTATATTTTGTTACTTTAAATATCTTTAATACTTTAAAATTTAAAAATTAAAGTGCTAGCTCAGGTTTGTATGTAGTTAAAATAACTTAAATCCTCTTTTTTCTCATCTTCCATAAACCTTTTATTGATGGTTCAAAAGGAAGCATATGCTTCCAGAATGTGTATCTCAGGGCTGGGATCCTCGAAGGAAACCACATGGCAAAAATCATAAATCCTTTTCCCTTCTGCTCTTTGACAGCCCAAATCAAGAAACTTATGAGGCTGGAGGATCAGGTTTATGTTCTGTTGTTATAAAAATACTTTCTTTGTGCATCCAATGTGGCTTCAATTTTCTAGAAGGCCGCAGTGGCAAATGCCAGTTTAGTGAGATATTATATGCAAACAGTTATTGAAAGAACATACACCATATTCTCTACTTTTTTTGCAGGCACTGGTGTATTATTTCACACAAGAGTAGATTAGATCAGAAGCACTTTGGGGTTTTGATGCATGATACCAGATGGCTACAGTTTAATTTTCAAGGACAATCACACAAAAAGCTGTCACTCCCAAAGAGTAGACAAGGATTTTATCTTAAAAAGTTGAAGTATAACCAGAGAAAAAACTGACATGGTAAGTAAATATTTCAGGCTTCACCTGCAAATGGAAGATATAGTCTGTCTACTGCCTTAACATCAACAGCATGGTTAAATATTTTTGAAATTCTTTTCATCACTCACAGTAAAGAATTCTCACAAGATAAAAAGAAATCATTATCATTAACGTTCATAATTTCAGGACTGAGAGCTTGAAAGACTTGAAAACTCAAATATGACAGTTAAGGCTGTGTTGGTTGTTCTGAGACTTCTGGGGAAATAAAATGTGCAATTAGAGCTCTTTGATTACCTGAAGGAGTGCAACACTTCACAAATTAGTGCTCCAAATTGAAATACTACTTGAAAATTTTTATGTTTGCTTCACAAGAAATATTCCAACGTATTTTGATGCAGAATCTGCAAAACAATTGTGGATGTTTATTTCAAGTCATTTCAGTGTATACTGCTTCCAGTTAAAACAGCTGTTAAAACCAGAACTTCCCTACAAAAATTCACTCTTTACTAACTTCACCTTTTGTTGGAATTCTCCTGTCAAAATAATTTCCAGATTCATGAGGATCTTCTGAGGAAGAAAAGGTGGGGGGAAATGATCAATTAATAAAAATACAACACAAGTGCCAGATTTTATTGAGGTACTGCTTTCACATTGGTCTGTGCACCCAACAGTCACACTGGACTAAAGACAACCGTGTTCATGACATGAAGACACCACATTAAGATGGCACACAGGGGAAGGCTTCAAATAAAGCTTGGTCAACATGGTGTGCCAAATTCTGCTCTGCTTGACAACTGTGTCATCTCACTGGGATTGCACAGGGTAAAGACAACAACTTGCATGACAATGACTGACAGCAGTAGCTGGAATGTGCAAATCAAAACATACTATTTCTCAGTACAGAACCATACACAAACATATGCAGGCACAGCTTCAGATTGGCCTCTGGTTATCCACAGTGGCTGTAATAGCCAGGAAACACCTCTGGAAGAGTGAGTCAGGTTCTCAGTCACAGTCCATCCTTGCGGCTTAGGAAATCTCTTGAAGCCTCTTGGCTTTGTCAGCAGCTTGTTCTGGTGGGGCCTTGTGAAGGATGCAGCTCTGTATCTGCAAAATACCAATCAGAGGTCAGAACTAGACTGAAGAGGGGAAGCGATTTTCCTCTGCTGCTTAGCAGAGTTGATAAGAAGATCCTACAAAAAATCCAGAGCAAACCACACAGCTCAATCCATTTCACTTTCATTACTTCTTTCCAAGTATGTCTTTCTATTCCTAACCTTTATGATGTGAAGAACACCTCTGAAGGGCATTACTACAGCTGTGGAACACTAAATGCTTCCTCTGGGGGTGTATGTGGATGGGTAGCTCTGCTGTGAAAGCGAGGATTTCCCCTTGCCTGTGGCAAAGGCTCAAGGCAAAATGAGGCTAAAACAAACAAAAAAAAAGGCTTAGCAGACAGAGTCATTCATCTAACATTTCTGTGCAGTGCCTTGTGGAAAATGCACCACTAATACCTACATTAAACCACACATTTAATTTCTTTTTAACAATAGACATACTCACAATGTGTGCCTTTAATCCTGGAAGATACCAGAATATATTCCAAACTACACTTGAGAAATTTCTTTACAAATAAATTACTCTACTGCTCATTAAAGGAGGATTGATTCTGAGGTGAAGCACAACAGCTGTTGGTACAGATGGGTTTAGAAGCAAATGCTCTTCTGGATATGCAAAAAAATGGACATGCACTGAAGTCTGGCTGGAAAATTTCAGCTAATTCAGCTACTGACAGAAGTTTTGAAGCATGAAATTTTGGATTCAAGGCAGATGGCAACTGGCAGCAAAGAGCATCCTAACCAGGAAAGAACATCACTTCAGTACTCTTTCATTAAGAGGAATGATGCTTATCTGAATTATCATGAAAGCCTTTTGTAGATTCTGGATTTTTTTTCTGCTTAAAGCTCTGAGGATGGTTATACATTCCTGACCAACTTAAATGAAAACATGAGACATACATATAAACATAGATTTGTCCCCTCCTCAGGATTGCCATCTGGCTGACTGCAGGCTCAGAATGAGTCAAGAGGGCAAAACCCCAGCCTGGGGCATGATAAACACTGACTAACCAGCTGGTCAGGAGAGGGGATTATCCCACTGTATTTAGCCTTGGTGAGGCTCACACCGAATACAGGAGGCAGTTCTGGGCTCCACAAGTTAAGAAGAATGTTAAGGTACTCAAAAGCATCCAGTGGAGAGCAACAAAGCTGGAGAAAGGGCTGGAAGGACATCCTATGAGCAGTGCCTGAGGACTTTGGACTTGTCTAGTTTGGAGACAAGGAGGCTGAGGGGTGACCTCTCTCCAGCTTCCTGAGGAGGGGAATGTGGCAGAGACTGGTGAGGCCCTGGCACAGATTGCCCAGAGAAACTGTGGCTGCCCCATCCCTAAAGTGTTCAAGGCCAGGTTGGATGGGTCTTTGAGGAACCTGGTCTAGTGGAAGGTGTCCCTGCCCATGCAGGGAGTTGGAATGAAATGAGCTTAAAGTCCCTTCCAACCCAAATCATGCTGTGATTCTGTGATCTCCCTGGTATCCAGTGATAGGGTGCATGGGAATGGTTCAAAGTTGCATCAGGGGAGGTTTAGACTGGACATTAGGAAGCATTTCTTTACTACTTAGTCACCTATTCTCCCTTAGGTATATTTGAGGATTTGGTTTCTCCTTTTAAACTACAGGACTCTGATTTTTATTGCATCTCACCTTTTTTATTTCAGAACACTTCTCCAGGGCACTGAGATAATTCTGAAAGGTACTTTTGCCCCAGAGTCTTGCAACCCTTCCCAGGGTGGTGTCATTCATAAATTTTATACATATCCTCCTTAGTCCTTCAGCCAAGCTCTTACTATTGGACTGGGGTAGAGCACCGAGACATCCTTCTTCCCTCCAAAAATGTGTTTGAGAATGAATCACTGAAAACTTCTCTTTGACTGCATTTTCATAAAGATCTGCAGTCATAGCCACTTGTTCCCACTTATCTGATAGGCAAAATTACCTTGACAAAGAGAGAAATTACACTGGTTTGTCGTGATTTGTCTTCATGAAATCTGTCACATTTTTCTTATGCGTAACTCAATTGTTTAATAATGCAATATGTTATCAATCTAAGTTAGAAGCAATGCCTCCGGCCGCCTAGTTCCTCTCCTTTCCCTTTGTAAAGCTAAAAGCTGTGTTTGCCCTTTTGCTGGAAAAGAACACACAAACAAGCTTGAACTGTGTGTTGAAGCACACCAGTTGTAAGGGTTCCTGTTCCTAATTAAAACCCAATGAATTTGGCAGAGGAATTCTGCATGCTAAATCAAATCTAATTGGCACCTGTAGCTTTCTCACAGCAGTAGAAAGTGATGGAGTCTCTGGCTCAACACTGCAGTGTGGAGTGGCTCCTCTTGACAGGTGTGGGCATGGAATCTGCAACCAGCAGAGGTGAAAAGCAGAGGACAAAAAACAACTAGAGACCTGGAATTTCTACCAACACTTAACCATATTATCTGTTGAGGTTCAGAAAGATCCTTGCCTCCTTTTTCCTTTTCACATAAAGTTTCCAGCTCTTCCACTGTGGATCAGGAAGAAAAAGGCTCACAGGCTAAGGACGTCGTTTTCCTGGATTTAGCTCCAAAACAGGTCTCAAGTATTTTGAGTCTTCATGATAATGCCAGCCTCATTTTGCCAACACAAAGAGTTGGGTAATTCATGCACAAAAAAAGGCTTCTAAATTTTTTTGCCTTTATATAATGCATGCATTCAAACCCTAGAGAAGTCCTTCGCAGCTGGCCTTTCATTCTCTCCCTGTTTCTTTCTCCCTGGAAGCAATAGTGGTCTGCAGGCTGCACTTCAGGGCACCCCATAAACAGGAGCTTCTCTGCCACAGTGGAAGGCAGGCAAGCAGAAGCATGAGGAGATGAGAGGCTCATGGCCCTCAGAAAGCAATGCCACATTCCCAGACCTCAGCTTGTCTCAGTACTTGGCACCTGCCTCAGATATTTTTGGATTTTCTCACTACAGACGGTTTTCTGACTGCAGGATCCATTTTAGTCTTCCCATGGCATTTTTCTCCCACAAGCCATTTCATTTGCAACAGTAGGAAAAAAATGTGTGGAGGTGGTTGGGAGTTTTGAAATGAGTTTTGTTACGCTGAAGTATTTTTATGAGGACCAGCAGCCCAAAACAACCCGCTGTGCCCATAAAGAGCACTGAGAAGGATGCATTGGCACTTGGGATGCACAGGGTGGCTTTTTTTAAGGGTACAAGAGCAAATACATGAAGTAGGGAACTCTTAACACATTCCCTTTCCTGCTCATCTGAGAACAACCTGCTGAGCAAAGAGGACCTCTTATTTTTCCTGTGACAGACACTGCTGATCTGCAGCTGTTCTCACGTTCTGTACCTGCCTAGCCATGAGCTTTCACCCCCCACAGAAAGGAAAATGCGTGTTTCATGCCACCTGAAGTCCTTTGCATTATTGATAATCTCCTCTTAAGCCTGAAGTACAACTCATCTGTACTGGCATACATTTTAAATACTATTTTGCATGGTCTGTGTCATAGGCAGTTTGACCTTTAAACAGGATTTCAGCATTGGTTTTTATCAAGTTTTTATCAAGTTCTCTGTCAGACTTGACTCAGCACTCACAGGTGGCATCCCCCCAAAAGCAAAGTATGACTAAACTGCCCAGCAGACACCTCACTGCTCTCACCCTTTGTCACACAGGAGACTTTCTAGCAGTTCATCACTAAAGAAATTCTTCTGAATATGTTACAGTGTTTGCCTCCTTAGTATAAGCTCTGGTGCATCCAGGATAGCATCAGGGAAAGGACAAAGACAGCATAAGGGGAATATAATCTTCTCTGGCACATAACCATGATGGAGTATTCATGTACCAGTAAATCAGGAAGAGATTTGTCTGTGGAAGGACTCTGTCCAAGTCTCTGCAGATACATCCCTGTACAAGGGCAGCATCAGGGCAGTGTATAAATAAATCAGAGACAGTTGCCACTGCTTTTGAGAAAGTTTAAAAGAAAGAATCATGGCATTCTATGAAATATATATGAAACAGAGTAAAGAATATACAAATACAATAGAGTAAGATGAAAATAAATGTTCTCACAGTACCTATTTTCTTTACAGTATTGGTAGAATCCATCCAGAGCCTCTGTTTTTTAACATACTGAACTCCCTCTGGTTTCACTGTCTGTAACACAAAAGCATTTTTAGTAGAACTAACAGCATTCTTCTTCTTTTAGTTCCAAGTAGTAATACACAGATGTGCCCACTGCACTAGAAAAAACATAGTTCCTGGAATCTTCTACAATTTTTAGAGGATAGATCAAAACCATTCCACTTTCCATTTCTGAGCCTCCAGGAGGCTGCAATTATTAGCATACTTGTGTTAAAAGGGAATAAACTTCAAAGGGAAGAGCAGTTTAAGGTAGCAGCACTGTGGTGTAAGTAGGACTTATAGCAGGGAATCAGAGTGTCTGCTACAAGAAATTGCATGGGAAAAAAATCCCATATTAAGAAAGTAAGTCAGAAATCTCAAACTTTCATTCCTTTCCAAACATGATCAGCCACTACTGCCTTCACTGCACCTTCCACCCAGTGAGCCCAAAGCACCATGTGTGTGTGTGAGGAGGTTTCTCTGCATGAAAGAAATGTTACCTATGTTTGACAGAAAGATTAAAGTGATGACATGAGCAAATAAAGCCATTTTTAGTTAGGCATTTCACGAGTTGCCCAGAAAATCCGTAGTTCTGGCAACTCCCATCTTTTAAGCCTTTGCTTTTGACGCTTAGTAGCATTCGAATGTTTTCCAGAGCACAACTTCATAGGTTAAAGTAAGTAATAGTTTATTAAAATTCCACTGGCTAACTGATCCAGACACCTGCTTGGAGCAGAATGGTTGGAATCTTTGGATTCAGTGCAGATAACTCGAGTTTGCCCAACTGCTCAGAATAACTAAAGCAAAGGCAGCCCTGCAGGGAGGGACAAGAGATGCTCTGCCAGTGGTTTCACTGATACCTGCTGACAGCTGGGAAAGCAAAGCTCTAGAAGGACTTTCCTGACCACACTTTGAACTCAATTTATTTTCTTTCTTAACTGATATTCATTCTTTCATTCCTTTCCCACTTTCCTCGTTCTGTTTCCCACCCTAATTTCCTGCTCCTGTGCTTCCCATGCTAATCACTGTATCCATGAACAACAGGTCATACTTTGAGTCCCTCCTCTCACTTTTCACTGCCCTAAATCTCCACTTGCTTCCCACCCTCCAAGCTCCCTCTCCATGTCCCCAAGCAGCCTGACCCTGCTCTCCAGCCCCCCCACAGTCACTGCTCCACTCCCTGGCCCTCCAAGGCTTTCTCCATCCCCTCTGGAATTGTTGCCTCCCTGCTCTGCTGCTTTCAACTCCATTAGTCCCAAACCTTTTCCACATGCTCCTGGCACATTCGGGTGCTTGCAGTTTTCTCCTTTATCTACCAGCTCCAAACCTCTCCTTGCTCCCTCCTCTCATCTGAGTCTCCTCATGGAGCTCATCAATCTTCCTCGGAAGCCAAGTTTCCCTATACTTCCCAACACCCTCCAGCCCAACACTGTCTTGCACCTCATTTTCCACTTTTCCACTGCTTGGGCAAACACAAAGAACAAAGAGAATTGAAAAGATAAGCTTAACAGGGCAGGTATTTCTGTCCAAGAAAGTGTATAGGGAATAGATTAAAAAACAGGTTCCCTGAATCCAAAAGGGAAGAAAAGTTGAGAATTCTAGTATTTTAATTAAAAAAACAAACACCTGACACAAAGCAAATTGGGCAAAGGAATTATTTGGTTTTGAGGTGTTCTGAAAGTTGCACTTTATTTTGTTTGAATTGAACAAGCTGCAGTTTGGTTTCAAAGATGTCAAAATGGGATTTAAGCCAAGATCTTAGTTGAAACCAACTACATGAGTTATTTCAGCTGTGATAAAAAACAAACAGAAAAAGTAAAAAAAAAAAAAAGAAAGAAAGAAAGAAAAATTCCTACTCAGTTATAGAGGAGGGCACCTTATTTTTGAAGCTTACACCAGCTATAGGTATCTTGGCAGTAAAAAACCTGACTTAATGAGCTGCAAAAATCTCACTGCTACAAGAAGGTTTGGGAAATTTAAAAGCTAAGGAGTCCAATAAAAACATTTCCAAATTTAATCTTTCCTAGTGATGTACCCTCCACTAAATTTGAATTCCCAGGTCCAAACCAGAAAATTTCTTCTTTTTTTTTTTTTTTTTGAACAGTTGAGCCCATTTGGCTGATTTTTCCCCATATACAAATCTGAGGCAGATGATTGGCGAAGACAAGAGTAGCCTGACTGGGGAAAATTTAGGGCCAGCTACAAGAAGACCATATAGTTGTCATTATTGATAAACCTGGAAAGCAGTTATCAGTGCACACTCCAAAAGCCAAGCAGTGTCTCTGAATTCAGACAGCAGCTACCTGCTTTTAGAACCAAGACTCAGATAATTCTACTGAACTAAGAAGGGGAATGTGTGAGACTTCAGTACCTTTTCATCAAAATATCTGAATATCTCAAATATTTGCATCATGCCCCATGAGGAATCTTTAATTAAGGAGAGAAATAGGGACATGAAGGTCATCTGGCTATTTTTCGAGCTGAGTTTTTCCTTTTAATTAAATGAAACCATGAACTTTTGCATACTATGATGTCATTGCTTTGCAAGAACAAGAAATTAATAACTTCTATTAAAGCACATTTTTCCCAGCACTTCTGATTAATTTACAAGGTCACAGTTCTCTTCACACTCCAACCCAAAGGTCCCTGCTGTCTGACTCTGAATGCATTACAGAGGTCCTCCTGTGCTAAGTTTTAAGGGAAAATGTCAGTTACTATCATAAAATACAATTTGCTATTCTTGCTTTGCAGTGGTATGGAACACCTCACCTCAAAAGTCTTCCCAAATCTGGAAGAAATACAGGGGCAACTCAGAAAATGTGTTTAAAAACTTTTAGGTCACCAAGGTGGAGAGTCTCTATCTACCTTTTATACCTCTGATGGCAAAGCCCATCCAAAGGAGCCAGCAGAGATGGTCCCTCCTCTCCCATCAGCTGCCTGCCCAAGGGAAGTATATGTGCATCTTTTCCCAGAGCTGAGCAGCTGTGCCTTTAGATTCCTCGTTTTCTGCCTGTTTACCTCCTCTCCTGACAATTAGGCAATCTTTCCTCAGCCCTCCTTGTCTCCAGCATCGGGGGAGGTTCCAGCATTATTCACTCAGCCTTAACGAAACACTTGCAATCTTTTGACTTCTTAGTTCCCTACATTTTGAAGGGGATAAACCTTTGAACAAAGAGTAGTTTTTGGTTAGAAGAACAAAGCATACGGCCAAATTCCCTTTTACCTTGGATAAATCCATAATGTTTGCATGCTCAGGGCATGGATTTCTTTGGCACCTTTTTTTACCATTATAGTTTTCCAGCCTTCAAGTGGGAGAAACAGAAACATCAAAAATGAGTTCAATGAAAAATCCTTTCTCTCAGAAAGAGCTTAAAGAGCAAAGAAAGAGCTTAAAGAGCAACTTGTATAATTAAAAAGCAAGTTCCCTATGCTAAGAGGAAGTATGCTCCAAGGATTTGAGTAGTCTTAGTCTCAAAAAACATAGCTCAATTCCTGTGTCAAGCCAGTCTTAGAGCTGGTTTTTAGAGGTAATGGAAGCAAAAGGACAAAGGTCTTCTGGTTAGTGATGTCCCTTCAAAATTCCACTGGACATTAATGTCTAAACTGACACAAAGCATTAAAAATGTGACAGTTCCCTGCAGTTCTGCCTCTTGGGAGATGGGTTATAGCATCTCCCTACTTCAGCAAGGCAGCTTTGAGGATAGAGACGAACAACTGAGAAGCCCTTTGGCACTTGGGCAAGGCAGAACATCAATGCTCAAGCCAAAGCCTGTGAGAACCTCACATTGTAAGCAGAGTGCAAACAATGAAAAAGCAAGGTGTAAAGAGCTGACACTGCCTGTAAAAGGAGAGGATTTCACTGAAAGAGTAATAAAGTATATTGCTGCTTTTTACTGAGAAATACTTGATCTGACAAGACACTAGGCTGTCAATTCCTTGAAATGCAGGGTCTTCTCATTTGCCTGTTCAGACTGTCTTGCATATTAGGGATCAACTCTGCACTCTACGCTATGATACTACAAATAGAACTGTGTAACTCCAGTAACATTTAAGGGGTTCTTCCTTCTCTATACCAGTGACTGAGCTTATCTTTCTTGAAATTCAGTGTTCAGATTAAATGTTAATTTTTGCTAGGCCTAAAACATCCTTAGTTAACTCAGGAACCCAGTCTGTAATATCTCTGCTGGTGCTATTGAAGACCATTTGTCTAAGGCTAAACAGAGGCAAATTCCAGTTGATCTGCCTTTTGCAGAATGAGAAACTTTAATAAAGGCTTCACATCCACTTTATTGTTAAATTTATGATCAATCTTGAAACTATTTCTGTAAAAATTCAACTACTCCACTTCTTTCTTTAGGGGATCTTGGATGAGCCCACAGAACCATGACCAACTTTAACTATTCCATGACATAGGAAAGGCATACAATAATCAATTGTATGTTTAATGAAGTACAAAACTCTAACTGAGCTGATGTATTATGCATGAAATTGAACACAATAAAAAATACTGCCTTCAGAAATGAATGCTCTCTGAATGCTCCAGGATACAGATGTTGCACAGCACCTAATGTGCCACACAGCCTTCACCTAAAGGTAAGATTATGCTAGTTTAGAAAAAGCTGGGTTGAACTGAGTTCAGATAAAACTCTTGGTCCCCAGGCCTGCAGTTTCCTGAAGCTTCTAAAAACTGTTTTAATTTTTTAATTCGTTTTTGTTGTCTAGATATGATTATGCTCAGATCTCAGAAGAACTGGAGAGGAGGAGAGAGGCTGTTTTCATTGTTCCCCAGGCCTGAAAGCAGCTAACCAGTCACGTCCTCAGACACTCAGACCTTGCATGACTCCCATGCAAAAGAAACCCAAGGATGATGAAAACAAGCACTCAGGCTTGTCAGTGAAATCCTTCAGCATTCCACAGGCAAAGCAACTGGCTTTCAATTTCCAGCAGCCCATCTCATGAACACCTAAAGCTATCAGGGTTTAGATGTGAAATAATCGTCATTCAGAGCAGCCAAAGAAGCAGAATAATAAAAGTGAAAAACACAGGATGAGAGCAAAGCCAAAGCGGTGTTTAAATGCAAAGCAACAGAGCCTGAACAAAGCCCCAAAGCACACAGGAGGTGGCTGGGAAAAGGTAAAGATCTCCCAGCTTCCTGGGCTCATAACATTTGGAATCGTGAGATGGGATGCCTGCAGGAATGCTGGGTCATCAGTGGGGGAGCTTGGGATGTTGTTCACCTCATGACAGGAAAAGAGGAATACCTCCAATGCCCAAGCAGGATGTGGGTTTGCAGAGGGGTCCAACTTGGTTTAGAAAGATGGAATCGTGTGGCAGCAGCGCTGCAACAGCACCTGCCTCCTTCCCAGCTCCCCATGTGCCAAACATGTCTGGCACAAAAATACAAGGCATGAGGAGAACAGCACTGCTGTCCTGGCAATGGATTAAGAGCTGATGCCATAGCAGGAAAACTTGAGGGAAGAAGTTGAACAGCAACACATTGAAAAGCATAATGGCAGTCTATAATTAGAACACAACCATCTTGTAGCACCAGAGCATTTTGTTCATCCCACCCAAGAGTTTATTTAGGCTGTTCTAGGTAGCAGGTCTTATTTCCACTCTCTCTCCAGGACAAGTGTGAAGTTTTCAATTTGCAGATTAGTAGCAGTTTGCTGAATGTGCAACACTCATTTCAGCAGCTTGCTCAGCTTACACAGCTCCAAAGGGAAGCTTTGCAGTTCCTGATGGCCCAAAGAACTACTTTTAGACCAAAACCTGCATCCTCTGGAGAACAAAATAAGACATAGGAAGCTTGGTATGAAGTGGACTGTGTTAACTAGACACTCAGGAGGGGGCTTACTGCTCTATAACAGGCTAAATTACAGTAACTCATTGGTCATTTACTGCCATGGAGGTAGACAAGCATTTTAAAATAACAAATTAAAAAAACTGGAGGTGAGGGGACTTTTTTCCAAGAATTATTTCCCTTTTTTAACTTGTTTGACTTCCAATGCCTAACTAAGTAAAAAATACTGAGCCCATGTTAAATGTTTTGAGTTTGGTCCAGATTTCACACAGAGGGTAAAACAGCAGGACAGCTCCATCACATCTTGAGGTCCCTATCAGAAAGAAAATACACACTGTTGGACTTCTCCACATCCATTTAAAGACAGAATAAGACTTTTCCTCTGCAGGTGATTATGTACATCAAAAACAACAGATCTTACCTGCCATCTGCAAGCTTAAACCAGTATCCAGTTTGCTGCGTGGCTTGGTGCTGATAAACAAATAACAGAGAACACACACAGTGATGATAAAAGCGAAGAGGACCACTGCTGCTATGGACAGGCCCACGAGTGCTCCAACACTAGGAGAGAAAAACAAAGAAATTAAGTGTACAAACAGCCTGGGACACCCATTAAAACAATGGTCAGGATGATGTCTGGTGTTTACTTGTACTCAGGCATGGGACTGACTGTGTATTTTCCTGTAAACAAAAGTTTAGAGCTCAATACTTAAACTGCACAAACTGCAGAAGGGTCAATGTCATTATACAGGAGTTGAACATCTGGCCCTTGGCGACATTTCCTGTTCCCTATGCATACTACTGCTGTCTGATTCAAAGTGTGTTTATGAAAATCAGAAGTAATGTCATGCAGTAACTGACATCAGAAATCAAAAAGTTCTTCAGTGCAGTGCATATTCCTAGAAAAGCATAATATCACATGCACACACAGAGAGGGATTCTAGGGCTCCAGGCAGCTCAAACAACATGATTATTCAAGCTGTATTTTCAGTCTGAAAAGCCATTTTTACTGTATAAAACCCATGCAAGCCATGTTATTCAATTCTGTGAGCAACTCTGGAGAGCAGGGCAGAGTACTGTGATCACTGGTGTGCCTTTGTGTTAATGCAACAAATCTCCAGTTAAGGCCAGTAAAGTTCTCCCATTATTTTTGTCATGGTAAAAGGAAAACTACAGCTGAATTAGTTTATACACAACATCAAAGGCACCAAAGAAGCAGGAACTTAATTCCTTAGGCCAAACATACAGTAATATGTAGGTTTTATCAAGATACTACTCCTGCAGGATAAAAGTTACTTTATACATCTCCCACAGGCACACAGTGAGACAGTGTATGTATATACAGAAACCTCTCCTTATTTCCAACCCTTCTTTTCAAGTCTTTTCCTAATATAAAATGCTCATGATGAAATAAAGGCCTCAATACAGCACAGTCTAGCTATCATTTCCTATCCTCTCCTGGGCCTTTTGATGCCTTCAGTGTTCCAGTCCTCTATTCTACAGTCCATGCCAAAGTCCTGACTTCTGGTGAAATTAAACAGCAGCCTTTTGGTCACAGATGAAGGGTCTGAGGATTGAGAATCCTTCTATTGCTGCTCTATTTACGATTTGGACAGACGTCAAAAGGAGAGAAGATAAATGAATGTTCTTAATTCTACCAGCTCCATCCTCTAGTCATAAATATGCCTTTATATATCACTGCTATCAGTGAGAAGTCAACTCTACTGTGGCCTTGCAGACATATAAGAAGAACTATGCCCTGGGATGTTTTTATGAATTTTAAATTCAAGCTACTACAAAGCTTCTCCACGAGTTCCCATAGCACCAGCAGACAGATTTGTCGACAGGAGAAACTCTTAAAACCATCAGCATGAGAACAGCAGATATCAGAATGACTTTAACATGCAGTTTTCATAAGCTATTGGTCAGATTCATAAATGAGGTTTGTGCAACATTTAGCTCCACTTTAGCATAACTAAAATAATTTGTTATCAGCAAAATGACCAGTTCTGGAAAGAACAGCTCTACCCTTCTGAAGATTTGTCATGGTGTTTATCATCTGCATGAACAAGGGTGTCGTTATGTGTTTGTGCATATATGCACATATCAAGCAAATTTTGCCTTCTTGTTTTTTGGCTCAAACAAAATCTGCAGGCAAGCAATATTCTGCTTAATATGGAATCTGAGTATGACCCTACAGTCAGAGATCTCAGCTGGGTTCTGGCCTCATTTTTGCATTTTCACTTGGAACACCTTGACCCAAATAGACAAAACAGAAGAAATACACACCACTACAGGAGGCTGAATAGCCATTTGAACCAAGTAATGCAAACAAGCTCTTCAGAAACACGTATCTGTGCTTTTTTGTTGAGAAAATACAAGCTCTGTTGTAAGATTCCATTTAAATTACAATCTGTAGTGCAGTACTAAGGAGGTTGCTCACCACTATCCAAACACTCAGCAGAGTCAGCTGTCCTAAAGCTGAAGAGATCAAGCACATATTAGTGATTATAGGTTTTTCTCTTCAGGCATCTGTTGCCTCTCAGCTGTAGCTCTCCTCCACACAGCTGTAGAAGATGGCATTAACAGCACAGTTGTGTAATGTACAGCACAATGCACCCTCAGCATCACCACACAACTTGGGTAAGATGCTTTGGGAGTTACAAATGACAAAGAAAAACAGATCCTGAAGAACTCTCCAGGTTAAAGACATCACAGCGTATGTGCCACCGAAAGTGTTTGTGGTGCTCCAGCAGCAACATGAAAAGATCTCACCCAAAACATGGAGATCAGCAGCACAAAACCAAATAGACACTCCGGATTCCACTTCCTAAATGAATCAGAAATCAGAATTTAATTTGTACTTACTCTTTTTAAACATAGAATATTTCAATACCAAACTGTTGTCAAAGTGCTGAAGCCATCAACCCACTTAGAAGGTGTGTTTAAGTTCTTTAAGATTAATTTTGGGTCAAAGTTTGGGAATGGGTGGTTATTTCTTAATTTATTTAATTCAGAAGAGTTTAGTGTTTTCCATAGCTCTAAACACTGATGTTTCTTAACCAGGATCTTTTCTTTCTATTTTTGCAGTTAAAGCTGTTATCAGAAACAAACTTAGCCCTTGCTAAAAGCATTTTGCCATTTTCCAGCCTTTACCTTAAACATGAGCTGTCTGAAGCCCTCAGCAGTCCACATGGTGACCATCTACAGGTTTCTGGGTGTATCTTCAAGATCAGTCTTCGGACAGCAAAGACACTCAACAAGCAATTTAAAAAGTCCCTCTTGCCCACAGCTGTCACCCCATTAGCAAGTGAAAACCTCTGCATTGACAACCCACCCAACCCCAAACCAATGATCAAGCATAAAAACGGCATTGAAGGCCTGGTAGTATTTGCTCAATGCTTTGAACGTGAACAATGTTAGGTTTGTTAGAAGATCCAAACAGAACTCTCCCAAGTTACTTTTCACATGCAATAAAGATACAGCCACACCACACATTTCCCCGACACTGTTACACCAAGTGCCACATCCAGGCCTGCAGCACAGCCAAAGGCTTTGCTCAGCAGAGGCTCCACTTGCCAGCAGCCTCCCCAGGGCTCCCCAGGCTGCTGTCCAGGGAGCTGCTTAGTGGGTCATTGACGTTTCTGTCAGTGGATGCTCAGCACCACACACCCACCATCACTTTGAGTCGATCAAATTAGTCCATCCACACCAAGAACAGCCAGGGAAACTTTAAATATTTAAATGTTGCCCACTGGTACACTAAAAGGAAGCTCATGAGTCATCTGGATCCCAGTGAATCAAATGTTCCTAATGCCATTGTTGCAGTGACGTGTTGTCTGTAGTATTTGCAAAGCAAACAGATAAATATACTCGAGAGGCTGAAAGAGTGGGCATAGAGGAACAAAAGACTTGCTATTTTGGAAAGCCAAAACAGACTCCTGGAGATCTGTACAGCCAAGCAAAGCTTGGCCTCAGCATTAGGTCAAGAGTATTAATTAATAAAGCATTTTGAACATCATCTATATGTGGCCTGAAAAATTTTTATCAAATATATGTTATTATATGAAACTAAAAAGATACAGCTTTGGAATGGAGCTATAATTCTATTTGATACTGACAGATGCCATTAAATTTGCAAAATAAAACTTGACCGACGAGTGCCAAAAAAAATTCTAAAAATCTTTTAAAACAATTAGAAACAAAAAGGCTGAATTTAACTCCAGCAGTTCAGTACAAATACTACATGTTCAGCATTTCTTCCCTTCCTTTCAGCTTGGGAGGCAAAGCAGATGTGATGACTGTATGTACATGCACAGCACACAGCTCTGGAGGCTGAGCTGCTCAGTGTTTTGCTCACTAGACTTTTTTAGCATCTGCGTTCTGTTGTTTCAAATGCTGCATAACCTTCTGGTGAAATCTGCATACCCCTGCCTTCTCCTAATGTTGCCTTTCCTGTTCCATGGGCTCCTGACTGCTGTAAGAGAGTAAAAATGCACCCTTCACTCTTCTTTGCTGAGGTCAGCTTCTCAAGAAATATGTTCTAACAAAGAGAAAAAAAAGATACCCTATTATTTCATTTTAAATACCAGCAAAAAAAAACCACAAGGAAGAATAATATTAATTACATATAATAAATTCTGGTGAAAATATGAAATGTGTCAGAGTTGCTCAAAGGTCTGTTATTGATGATTGTCCAACAGCTCCCAGTACAGAAGGTGTTAGGATGCACTTGCCAAATACCACAGTTTTTGCAGGAGTGGAATGGGAAAAGAAGGTTCCATGTTGCTAAGGGATAGGGCAGTGTCTGGTTCTAAACATAGTACAGGCAGTAGAGATTTGGCAAGAAAATAAAAGGAATAGCATAGGCCTGCAAGTGACTATTGCTTTAGGTTGCCCAGGCTGCTGGCTTCTCCATGACCTCCTGCCATCAGAGCTGGCTACAAAGTGCTCTGGCAACGCCTCTCCCACAGTAGGAAAAACACAAAAGGAATACACAATAGTTTTCTGAAATTCCACCTGGTGTGTCACCAAACTGAAACAATCCCTGAGATATCACCAACCACTTGTGGTGCACTCAGTCACTGCTTTCAAATTCATGGGGGGAATCAAGCAAAGATTTAGGAAAAGGAACCTAAAGCTCTGGAGTAAAGCAAAACCTGAAACAATTCCCCCATCAGAGCTTCCATTCCCTTCCTCAGTACATTCCATCTCCAGACTTACCTTGGCTAGTTTGGCTAACTCTTGTATAGTTTTAAGGGTTTCAAGTCTTAAAAGTGTGTCCTCAAAGGCTGCAAGAAGCGTTATAAGGATTATTTTAACATGTTGTTTGCTACAAACCGATATAAGTAACTGCCTGAGACAAAGACAAGCAAGGCAGTGATCACCAAAACATTCTGAGAAGCCAGAAAATGTTATTGTTGTGTTGTCCTCAAACTCCTAGTGGAACTATCATGTGCAAATGTATACAGTTTTCAAAGTGCTGTAATATTGTAACATTACCAGTATGTTAGTAACTAAAAGTTATCTGATTTGTTCCTGAAAACTCTAATGAAAAGAGAAATTTCAATTCTCACCACTCAGTAACTTTGCTTAGAGAGGTAAATTGTATTTATTCACCTCTTTTCTGCAATGGATATAGACAGTTATGGCAGAAGTTAAGCACAACCAAAACCCCACCAATGGCAACTTCCTTCAGTCCTTTTAGCAGTTTAGGGCCACTGTGAAAAGAAGAAGAGGAAAACAAAAGACCTTAGGTTTCAAAGTTTGGGCCCAAATTTCTGACCTAGGTGGAGGTTAAGAAGTCAATTCTCAGACTCTAGAAAATCTTTGTAAAGAAAGACCCTTCAGAGGTGCTTCCTTAAATCCTCTCGTGGGATTCAGTTCTTGGAGGCACTTTTGGAAAAGATCAAGCTTTAACAGTCTTCACTGCAGCATATCATCCACATGCAAGAGCAAAACCTTTTAAACTTAATCTTTCAGTACTTGAGTACTTGAGTACTGTGATCAAAACATCAGACTATGCAAAAATATCATATAACATTAAAACAGTATTTGATAAGTGTAAAAAAGGACACCTGGAGACGTCTTCTCACATCAGAGAAGCTGAGTAATTCTGTGTCAGTCACAGTAGTAAATGGCTGGGAGATCCCCATATTCAACCCACTCCTTGTACCGACAAAGTAGATTTTAAATAATAATATGTTAAATATTAGACAAATTCAATGAATAAGCCCACAGTACTGGATAGCATTCATTCGTGAGCCCTGAAGGAATTCATATGTGAAACTGCAAAACTGCTGGGCAAGGTGTGCACCCCATCATCACGCAAGGCCACCCTAACAGAGGTCTGGCAGCCTGGGAGTGTAACTCCAACCTGAAACAGGGCTCTAGAGGAGAACCCAGGAACTACAGACCTGAATTCCACCCCTTGCAAGACAGAAAGGTGAGGGAAAAAATAATATCATCAAGTCAAGAGGTAAACACAATGTCAGGGTGCTGAGTGCTGAATCTGAGCCTGGCTATTATTCCCAGGCCATGATGCCCCCCCTCACCTTACCTGAATATGAGGGACAGATCCTTTGATGGCAAAGCCACTACTCCCATCCCCCTCCTTACCATGCTCTGCCCAAGGAAGCTGCTGGCACTTGCAGCTTTCTGACATAAAATCTTTAATGAAAGAGTCAGCATTTCTATGAGGGGAAAACACTGCCTTGTTAACCTGCTGGAGTCTGTGAGGTGTCAATAGACAGATGGACAGAGGAACCCAGTGGACAGAGGTAGATGTCTCAAAAAACCTTTTGACGAAGCCCCACACTGAAGGTGTGGCTAAAAAGACTGAGCTGACACAGGCTTAGGGAAAGGTTTTGTTACAGATTTAAGGCTGCTTAAAAGCATAAGGAGCAAAGCACGAGGCTAGGTGGGCTCTTTTCAGTGTAAAGAAAAGTCACTGAGACTGGTTTTTCTTCAGTATCTTCATCTATAACCTTGTGAAGAATGAAATCTGAGTTTCTGATGATCCAAAGTCCCTAGAAGTGATCAAATGCTATGAGGGCAAGGAATGCTAGAAGACTTGAGGAAAACTGAGTGAGCAGGCAAAAGTGTTGTAGATGAGTTTCAGTGTACACAACATAATGTATAAACATTACAATGTATAAGCAAAACCAAGCCTATACAGCAATGAACTCAGAATTGGCAGTTCTGAACTCAAGGAAAGTTTTACAGTCATCAGTGACAGCTCACTGAAATCACAGAGTCAATGCGAACTAGCAGTCAAAGACATCAACAAAAAGTTGGCCAAGAGGAAGAATTTTGAGAGCAAGGCTGGAGGCAGCATTTTGCTACTCTGTAGAACCTTGCCATACCCACATCTTGAGCATGCAACTCCAGCACTGAGGAGTGAAAAACAGTATGGATGAGATGCAACTAAAACCATCAGTGGGACACAGCACCTGCCCCAATGATAATCCAAAAGGACTAAGGTTGTTCAGCTCAGAGAGGTGAAAGATGAGAACTGATGCACCAAATGCCAACAAAATTTTAAACATCAAGCAGAAACTGAACATGCAATTGCTGTTCACCAAATCTCACAATACTAATAGTAGAGAGCACTTCAGAAAACTAGTGGGGAACAATATAAAACATATAAAAGTCTGTATCTTCAAACAGCAGGCTGCCACCAGGGCTGCAGAAGCAGATGCTGTAAGCAAGCCCAGAAAGAGATTTGACAAAATCAAGGATATCAAGTCCATAAGAAACACAGTAAGAGCATCATGCAGAGGTGTACCAACATCCTGACACTGCCACCGTGGATGCTGAGGAGCCCGAGGGGAATCAGGGAGCAGCCGGGCTGGCTGTGTGCAGCTCTACTCTCTGCTCGAGATACTGCCAGAGCCAGGCAGACCCTCGCACTGCCCCGGGAGAGCACCAGGCTGATTATCTGTCACCTTCCAAGTGGAAAGTTACGAAATGCTTGACTTTACCACACATGGAAAAGTAGCTAAAGTCATTGGGAACTTTATGCCCGCAGCACTTTACACGCTCGGGCCCCGAGACCGCTGTTCCCGTCACACCCGAAGGGCGGGGGACACTCCAGATGCTCCATCCAGAGGCACCGAGCGCTTCCCAGCTCTTCCTTTACTAAGACCACGAGTTGTTTCCTTCAGAAACCACCCTGGCACAAGCAAAAGTCTCTCCGGGCTGAAGATGCCGCTCTCCCGCTACTCTCGGCGGGACAAGGGCACCCTGAAAGCGCCCGGCTACAAATACCGCACCAGCCCGCCCGGAGCCTCCCCCCGGGCAGGCACCGCCGCGCCCCTACCTGAGCCACCACATGTAGCTGTGCTCGTAGGGGAAGAAGCTGTGGGGGTCATCGCAGCAGTACTTGACGTCCTGGAAGCCGCAGCAGAACACGGCGCGGGCGTCGCCGCCCGCCCGCGGGCAGCTGAACCCGCTCACCAGCACCTTGTCGGCGTTGAGGTAACTGCTGCACTCGGCGCTCATGGTGCCGGTGCCCGCCCGACGACTCGGCTCGGCGACGCCCGGGCGGGAGGGGAGGCGAGGAGAGGAGAGAGGCGGCCGTGGCGGGCGGAGCTGGGCGGGCAGGGGGCTGCGCTGGCGGCGGGAACCGCCGCGCCCACTCCCCCCCGGGGTCGCCACAAGGCGGGAGCGGCGGGAGCCGCCCGCGCCCTGAGGGGAGGGAATGGCGGGAAGGGGCTGTGTGCGGGGGCTGCTCCCCTCAGAGGCTGGGGCTTGGTGTTACCTCAGCGCTGGGTCACACGTCGAGCAGATGTTTCGGGGGTCCGCCCTCACCCGTCGCCTCGGTGAGGTCTCAGGGTAGCCAAAGAAGGGAGGTCATGGAGAGGGATCCCACCTCTGTTATACTCAGGAGCCCTTGGGGGAAAAGCTTCACGTAAAACTTAATGTTTCTGAGAGATCAATCTCCTACTCTTTCTAGAGATCATTTCAGGATACTTTTCTTAAAAAACTGCGGCTCAAGCAGTCGTTCTGTTACCTGTATGAAAGAGCCTCTCTTTAGGGAAGGGTAAGCAGGTCTCAGCTCGAGACCATACACCTGCCTGTAGTGCACTCTCTGCATGTGATTTGGCTCATGGAAAAAAGGGTAATAAGAAGCCTCTGGGAGAGCAATGGGATGCTTAACCCCTCCAAGGATCTGGTGCTCAGTCTCCTCTCTGGATCCAAGAGAGTCTGGATCAAGTGCTTTACCACACAAGTGACCTCCTCAAGGAAAAGTTCAGGTTTTAGAGAGAAAGGGAAGTCATGCAATATCAATAGAGCTTGACTTGAACCGATAAGACTGCATGAAGTCAGCTAGCACTTTACACTTTGATTTCAGGTCTTGCCTTGAGATGAACTCCAGGCAAGTGGGAGTGTCATTTTCCAGCTGTCGGACAAAAGCAAGAGCCAGGAGTGATGGCAGCTTAGGGAGATGCAGCCCTGCAGGATCCGAAGGTGGACAGGCTGGTGGATGGGCACCATCAACAGCACCAGGCAAGGTAAGATACTGAGTCCATCCAGGAGACAGGGCAGGAGGCAAGTTACGTACAGCATAGGTCTAAAGTTCATTCAGGAGGACTAACAAGCAATCCAGGACAGCAGGAGACAACACTGAGCTTAGGAAAGGTCAGGCTGCCCCAGCTGAGCTTAAATGTGGCTCCTGGACCAACAGGCAGAGGGTGTGGATGTTGTGAGGACCCAGATCATGCTGGTCAGGGCCTGTTGGTGGCTACCTAGAGCCCTGACACTGAGTCCTTCCAATACTACATGCAGTCCCCCTGTATTAGACTGTACTTGCTAAAAAGTATAAATATTCCTCGGTTGCTTGGTTGGTTTTATTTTGTGAAATCAACCCTAACTTAGCATCAAGTGAAATGAACTCAGAAATTCAATCAGACTCTTTCTGCTGAATTACAGATTTGCCTTGCTAGTATTAAATGTATACATGAAGAGTCAGGGAAGATTCAAATTATCAAACTGTTAAGCTTGAACAATTTGAGAATTTGACTTTAGGTACCTCAAAAACAGGCTCAACACTTAATAATGCACTGCACACAGTGAGAGAATTAATGACAATGATGTGGCTGGTGCAAAGACCAGGGGAAAAGGGGAGACCGGGAAGGATCAATGTGTATTGAACATCAACAAAGAAAAAGGCTGGATAACTATGAGATTTTGTGAGAGTTGTAACTTCGTCACTTGTGTTGTTCAGGTGAAATCAGATACAACCAGATCAATTGTTTTTATGATAAAATCAAGGATTGACTTATTTGAAATGTGTACAGGAAAATGATCTACCAAAGGCCAGAAGGCAGCCTTTTTACCTCAGTTATGTCAATAGTGTCAGTACATGCTAGGATTTAATTGTGGCTCTTGTGTTACCTGAGATTTTTTTTTTTAGAGACCAATCTCCTGGTCATTTGATTCACAGTGACATGGGGACTGTTTTTCTGTGATTGAGGAGAGTCTCTAAGGAAGGAAGGATGGGTGAATCTCAGCTCAAAAGCTATCAGTTGGTTGGCCTGATAGTGTGTATGCACCAGTCAGCTAAACAACATGTGGTGTGGTTGAAACCAAGAAGTACAGTGGTAAATGTCAGGGTTTTGGAGACTGATTCAAGACTTTTGAGAGGTTGTCAATACTGTGTTCAAAACACAGACCTAAGTAAGTCCTACAACTTCCCAGGATGGAGAAACATCTAGTTCCAGTCTAATAGGTATTAGTCTTTTGAAATGTCTTCATGTACCTTGTTCAGTTGCTAATAACTATTTTCTTCCAAAACCTGAATTCCCATCTTTGTTTTTCTCTCTGATTCTCTTTATCTCTCTGTTGTTTTTTCTTAACTCATCTTATCCTTGGTTTGTTTCCACTGAGGTTCTGTTCATACCAAAATTCAACAACCATGGCAGAGAGAATTGATTCCAGGAGTCATTCAATTCACCTTTTCAACTGAATATTCCCAAATCAAGTGGTCAAGAGATATAGAACATTCTTGGTTATTTTTGTATTTCACATTGTTATTTTACTTTTGGAGATTTTCTCCTATTATTCAGAACTCAGCTAACTATTTTCCTCTCAGAATTATTACTACAGTGATTTTGAACAAATAAAGTTAGCTATCACAGTTTTATGCTCAGTCTTACACAAGCTTTCACTCGTACTTAATAAGACAGATCTGAGTCAGAGTTGGAGTAAGGGTGGGTTTTTTTCTCCAAACTTCATGAAATTGTGTTTCAAAGAAAGCTGAAATGTTCTGAAGTGGCAAAATCTTTTTTTTTTAAGCAATCAGTATACTCATTTATATCATGCAATCAGTTTATACTTGCTGTGATTATTGGGTGACAATAATTAGCGTGCTCTGTTGTTCCAATTATTTGGAAAGATTTATTTGAAACATTAGAACTGACTTTGAGTTGACTCAGTGACTGAGTTAACTATGTAAATGCTGGAGGATTAAAATAAAACAACATTCTCTTTTGATGACATTCAGGATTTGAAGTAGGAATGAGAGGCTCTTCACTGACCAGTGGATGATGTGCGTCATCTTTTATGTCAGAAGAAAACCACATCAACTTCTTTTTTCATTCCAATTACAAAACACAGACCTCTTCCAGTAAGAGCCAGTGGTTTGAAACTCTCTTCACTATTAACCAATATCAGTTTAAGTTACTACACAGATCCCTACAGCAGTTCTCTCTGCTGTGTGAGGAGTGTATTTCAACCTAACAGTGAGATCATCCAGCTTTCAGAAAAACACAGATCAAAGACCTTTGCAGGATATGTGTCAGTAACAGACAAATTATCTGGGTAATTCAGGAGCAGCTTTCAGAACTGTATTCACAACAAGATACTTCTATTCCCTGAGTGCTGAATTATCGTCCTGGTGAATATGAGTCTCTTCTGCAGTGAAGCTCCAGCTCTAATTCTGATAAAATGTGCCAACTTTCTCAGATGTTTGCAACCCAGACTCTCCTGCAAATCTGTAACTGATTCACTGGCACTCATACTGGCTTCCAAGAGGTTGTTTTGGCTGTACTTAAAGCCCTTTTCCAAAATACTTGGTGCCGTGGAACTGCACCTTTGGGTTTCTCTTTCTTATAACTGTTTTCCAGTCTTCCCAATTAACTAATAAATAAAAATATATGTATGTTGTCTATGCCATAATTAAAACAGCAGCATTTTCTGTAATCATTAAAAATATTTGTAATCTTCATCTAAACTACAATTCATGTGAAAAGCATACAGCCTCTTATTTACTTATTTACTTGTTTACTCCACACTATACTGGCCAGCAGAACTGGGGTGCTTTCATTTTGCAGCAAATTACAAGAGTTCCTCTGGCCAATACAGCTTAGAGCAAAGGGGGCTTGAGGGAGAAGCTAAACTTTGATTTAGCCATTCCCTTTAGAGACAACTCATAGTGAATTGTGCCTCTGTGCTGACCACTGAGAAAAGCTGACAACAGGTATTTTCATTAAGAGCTGTGGGACACATTTCTACCAGCCAACCTTCTAATAAACAGAAAATCAATTATGAATTACCAATAGAGCTGTCAGATCAGCATCAATCCTCAGACCTACATGGCAAGTTTTTCCTTAAGAGCATAATCTAATTATTAATAGGCAAAGAGCTGCATAAATTACTCTCAAAAGTAATCTGGTGGCAAATTATGCAATTAAACAAAATTGCCGTGCCAAGATGGTATAACTAGCTCTGATTAGGAGTAAAAACTTAAACTGACAGCAGATTTAGTGCAGGCAACATGTTTTATCCCACATGAGTAGTAGGCAATTCAGAAATGCAGATGACAGCATAAGGTTCAGAACAGAAAGGGGAACAGAAGTTTGAAGTAGTGCATACTTGGAGTACAGTGAGATGCTGTCACTCAGAGGACTAAAAAAGAAGGACCGATGTGAGGAGCATTATAAAGAAGACTGTCTGCTTTGGCACTGCTGTGCATTAGGGAAGGACTGAAGTCTCTCAAGGGGTCATGATACACCTTAGGTTCTGCTCTCAACTCAGCCAAAGCAAGTTGCTTTCCCGGTGTGTGCCCCACTTGAACTCTGTACATTAGTGACAGCGATGGAGCTGTGTGACACACACCTCTGGGCACAAGTGTTTGTAGTTTTAGATCCTCTCTGTGCACGTGGACACATGTATGAAGTATCATCATGAGTTTTTCATGTCGCTCTAGAGCCTACCAATTTTTCTGGTCATTTTAGCTGTCCTTCATACACATTATTCTTTAGTTGATTCCTCCAGTCAATATATAGTATAGATTTTGCCTTTATGCTGTCTCTGCTTCACAGAACTAAATAACGAAGAAGAAGAAAGTGATTTTAAGCATCAAGAAGTAAGAAGAGGCTTCAGCCAAAATTTTAAGGAAGAGGGAAAACCAGTGAAACACAGTGAAATAGGAAGTTGGCACTGGTAATTTTGGGGTGAGGATGGAGCTCTGATAAGCAGTTCGGTTTTATATGCGTAATGGCCCTCAGTATCTACAGTGTTTTATGTTCTGTAATTGGCAAATATTTCAGAATAA